TACCATAAGTCAGAAGAGCATTATTTAAAGAACAAAATAAGCTGAAAATATTGATAGGTTATGGAACTCCTTTTTGCGATGTTTGATTTAAAAAAAAATGGCGGGAAAAGGCTGACTCGGACTTTTAACTTATATCTAGCATTGACATTATTTTGGTTTCAAATCGGAAGAAAAAAAATCTACAATCTGCTTCAATTTTGGTAATGACCTTTTTATGAGCTATTGAAGTCTTCTATGGAAAGAAAATGGGTGATATGGGTCAAAATATATTACCCTGTATCGTAGTAACAAACCCAAGTAGTCCGAACATCTGACAAAAAAAATCATAAACCTGACCTAAGTACATCCTTAAGTTCCCACTATATATGGTAAATGAGTTCTATCCTATTACAGCTAATTTTAAGTATTATAGGGGAGAAAATTCCCATCAAATGCCAACACACCGTTTTACCAAAATATATGTTACGACATGTCGCAACTAACAGTTTAGTAAAAATATTTTGTCGATATCTTATACGGTTTCTGAAAAGAAGCAATAAGAAGCCAAAATCAAAATTTAGAAGCTGCCCTTGACCTTTGACCTTGACTTCATTTTCTAATGGTGAACCAATGACCTCAATTCAAAAGACCCTAGGTCTCTATAACTTTAACAGTTACAATTACATTTCACTTATTTTTAATGGAGAAGGGAAATAACTCTCATATGGAGTCTCCGGAACGCTTCGGTCAAAATTATTCTTAAGATCCTGAGGATATAACATGCAAATTGGTGAAATAATTTTGTCGTAAACTTTTACGGTTGCAAAGGAGATGCGCACACAAGAAAAACAGTGTTTGGGGAGATAACTCTTACAATAAAAAGTGTTCGGTTAACCAGGGTCAGTTTCAAAAGAGCAATAACTGTTTGATGTCATATGCAAAAAAATTAAGTGACATCTTGCGAAACCACTATATACCGCAAGAAAAAAATGTGGCAGAAGAAGAAAAAAACAATAATCAGAACAAAATCAATATGTCTTTCTACGGAAAAGTGGAAATATCTATTAATCTGAACAAACTCAATAGGCCTTTTCACAGAAAAGTGGAAAGACCTAAATAAAAAAAGAAAATAAATAAAAACAATTAAAAGTTTCGAACACGTACAGTGCACTGTGTGTTGGGCGCTTTTTGATGTCATATACACCCTTTTGATTTAATTGAATAAAAAAGAGCATGTTGCCGATATTATACCAAATATCACATAAGGCTTCGAATGATGCAATATTTTTCAGCCTACATGTAATATATGATACACCCATCATCATGACAGTGGTTGCAATGCTACTTGTCAATTTCAACTTTATTTTGAATTTTGAATTAGGATTATACAATCATGATTATGTAGTAGCTCCTTTTGTTGTTTATACAACATTGTCATTCATTTATGACAATGTTATTCGATGTGTTTGAGCATCACCGCTCTTCAACACTTTGTACAGTGGACCATTCATTGGATACCAATGACTGTTTGCCCCGCCTTCTTAATTGATTGACAATCGTCTTTTGAACGTCATCTCGGAACAACTTAAATGAAAATATTTTTAAAATAAATTTATCAAATTAAAATAATTTTCAGTAGAAATAAACTACCTTTTCCATTCTATTTCAAAACAAGCAATGCATTTTTCAAGACATTTAGTCAAACATTTTATTTTTTTAAAAATGCATCCCTCTTCCAAAAAAGGACAAAAGAATCGGTGCATAGGAAAGAAAATTCCAGCATGATATATTTAGTACCGATGATTCAAATACTAATCAACTGTGAAAGATATTCTGGAGTCGCAAAATTTATGAGGTCCATTGATTTCATTTAAATATGATCAAAAGAGTGATCAGGAGTTGTATGAATGTAAGATTACATTGTACTTGCTTGAAAATATTGTGTATAAAGGGAAAGATTTCTTTCGGATAAAAGTCAGTAACTTGAAAACGTGTCTCTCTTTGTCGATTGAAACTTATATATTTTCGCTACGTGCGTGAATATGCATTTGTAAAAGAGGCACACACTAGTCTTAAATGTCAATTTTTACTAAAAATTAACGATATCTTTTATGAACAAAAATATGATAGATAAAACATATATTGTTTTCGCCGGATGTTCTTCGATACAAAAAGATGCGGAAAATTTCCCCTGTATTTTTTTTTAACTTGCAAGGTAAATATCTAAAAGTTCCAAAATCCTACTGGAAACTGATTATCAAACAGTCTATCATTTTCTTAAATATTGTTTCCCAATCTAAAATATTATCTGTCGCTGATAAAGGCATATTTTGATACAAAAGTGCAAATTTTACATGTTTTTGTAAAATTTTGAATCGCTAACCAAATTTAATTAATTTGAATCCAAAAGACATTATAAGGTCACTACTGTGGCTATAAGCCAACTGTCTGTCGACATGATAAGAGGCCAATGTATTCAAGTGAATATATTCTAATGTACAATGGTTAAATGTCTGGTTAAAAATTAATCTTATCTTTGATGTGCCGCATACGCATCCCTATAAAGTAAGACAGTCCGTGCGTGATCCATGTAATACGATATTTTATGCATTTCATTGGCTATTTTCTATCAAAATCCAGACCAGTTAGTAACCTATATCAATTTACGTGTCTGCAGACGAATTTGTGTAAAATGTTTTTGTTTGATTTGAATTCCTGAAAATCTAAATAAACTGAACTCTAGAACAGATCTTTTCGGGACGTCGGGTTGGGCCTTAATTTTTACGGGAATTCGGGATTTACACTTATTGGGACTCGGGAATCGATGATTAATTTTTCGGGATTCGGGAAAAATGTTTTTATTTTTCGGGGTTTCGGTATTCAGCTTTTGTTTTTTACGGAAATTCGGGATGACACTCCTCCTATCATTCTCTCTGTCTCTCTTCAGCAGGCAATGTTGAGAAAAATATCAAAAAATCATTCTGTATTGAAATTTGAATTTGTTAAATAGTTGCAATTCTTATAAAATCACAAAACCTGCAGATTTTTTGCATTTCTTTATGTGGAATGACTAAAAAAAACGGGGGGAGGGGGTGTACACGACTTCCCAACTTAATCTTTAAATTCATGTTCAACGTTTAATACTCAACACTTTTAATACTGAAACAATTAGAGATATCAATGATTTTTTTTCAAATATCAAACAATAGTTCCCAACTAAATGTCTAAATGTATCCGTTTTGGAATATTTCCCCCCATATTGACAGCTATCTGAAGTCAGTTCATAAGACATCAGTTTAATATAGGCGTGGCAATCCATTACATTTATCCAATCAACTGTCCTTTATGATATAGATTGGCGTGCGATTGTAGTGGAAACAATATAATTTATATACTGACATTGTAATAGTTTTGGGACACAGTTACATCAACATCATTATTGTAGATGCTGTGGATTACTGGTTCAAAATAAAATTGATTTCGACAAGTTCCGTTGTAACCATGATGTTGGGTGTATTTCAATCTATATCATCATGACACAGGAACGTTTGTTCAGAAAAGTCGTTAAGGAAACACACGAAATTTGAGTCAGATAACTAACTTATCTAAAGAATTATAGAAATTGACGTAGTAAACTGTATTTGAATTCGGCATAGTATAAAATAATTAAACTTGAATTCTTGTGAGTTTTAACCGAAAACGTAAACAAAGCAAATAAAACAAAAAATCGTGCACATATTAAACATACAACTGAATATTTATGTTCGCCTTTTTGACAAAATAATGGTTGTAAAAAAGTAAAACAACACGGTATTAGTTTGACTAATGGAGATATAGTATATTTTGTACTCACATTCAATGAGATGACTGGTCTTCTTTGTTTCGTGGACCATGACATTAGAGGAGTCTTAAAATACCTTATGTTACGACGTGACAATTATCATGTCGTGTCAAAACATTGTAATAGAATTATCTACAGAAATTGTCTGTGAGTGTTTAGAGATAAAAAAAAATACTATGTGTAGACACCCGACGAGTTAAAGGAGTGAAATCTATGAAATAAATAAATGAGGGAATCTGTTTTTGTTTGTGGATTTTCCGTCTTCTGGATCAAATCAATCATTATTGATCTATATCCTAAAGTTAGTTTACAATCTTTACCATGTTAAAAGGACCGGACTCCAGTAATATAACCAAGTAATATAACAAGGGCGGGTTCAGATGGAAAGCTATTGCAAGCAATAAAGACTTCCACCCTATTCACTACGCGATTTCATCAGATGACTATATAAAACCAAAATTCCCGGCTAAAACTAGGCAAACTAATTCACTTGAGTCACGTACCACGATTCCTCTAGTGAGCACATGTGTTCTAATAGAAAAGAAATGATATGGGGTATCCATCAATGACACAAAATCAGTATGTGTACAGCAAAAACACAAAAACCTGTTCTTCATCTCAAAGTCACAGTGATGCCTTCATGTCTAGTTTTAATCAACTTATAATAAAATAAAAAAAATGATAATGGTATTGTTCGGAGAGCATGTTCAGTCAAATTTGTAAGACATATAATACTACAAAAAAACTACTGAACAAATTGTTATTATGTTTACCTGACCCAAAGACACTATTCTTATTGGAACTTAATTTGGATTACTTATTTACCGTTCTTCTTAAACCTGTACTATTCTTTTCATCTACAAACATATTCTATATCTAAGATTTGTATTTTAGTTTTCTAGAATTACGCGCTGACGAGCTAAAAAAAAATCCAGCACGATTTTGTAATTGTAACTTATAATGGAGTCTGTGACTATTAAGCAATACTGATAATACCAAAAACAGGTAAATATATGCTAGAAAAAATGAAAACGGAACATAACTGACAGGAAACTTTTGTTATGATTATTTTGTCATTGTTCTTGTAAAATGCTTACAATAGTAAAACGATTGGACATTGACATAAACATTGAATTTTTGAAATCCTGTCAGCAACTCGTTTCTTTTTGTTGCAGGTAAAATGTATTGTAACGGCACCTGGGATAAAGTGTTGTGTTGGCCTTCAGTGGCCGCTGAAACTACCGTGTTCTTACCATGCCCGCCACTACCAGGCTTGGACCCAACCAGTAAGTACTCATTACTGTACTCAACATGGCTAGACTCGAGCCTATCAAGTGAGTATTATACAATTATACCTCGACTCCTGTGCTTTGGCTTGATAAGCCATTAATGATTTTCTTGCATCTATAATATCCACAACTACCAACTTGTTTCCATTACAGTTGTACGTATAATCGACTTTCATCAGCACATTGCATAGCAAAGAACTATGCAGATATGCTACACTGTATATTTTCTTACATTTTCCACCATTTTCTACATAAAAAAATGCCTGTGCCAAATCAGGAATATGACAACTGTTTTCCATTCGTTTGATGTGTTTGGGCTTTTAATTTTGCCATTTGATAATGGACTTTCCTTTTTTGAATTTTCCTTGGAGTTCGGTATTTTTGTTATTTTACTTTTACCTACATCCACACAAAACGTTGAACGTGTGTTGGTCTTTCTTATTTGAAGATACTAATCTGTTTACTCTCTTTTAGATAAGAACAGGTTAGGATTTATATTCATATATGTATGTTCAACTGTGTCATCACTGTCATTGTATTTACGTCTCTCAAAATGTATGTTCATCTATGTTAGAACGGCTTAGTTGCCCACACCACTACTCATGTATGTTCAATCGTATGAGCACGGTCAGATCTCTAATGTTACCATCCAATGATAAACTGTTTCACACAAGTCAGATTACATGTATGTTCAATCGTATGAGCACAGTCAGATCTCTAAAGTTACCATCCAATGATAAACTGTTTCACACAAGTTAGATTACATGTATGTTCAATCGTATGAGCACAGTCAGATCTCTAACGTTACCATCCATATATGATAAACTGTTTCACCCAAGTCAGATAACATGTATGTTCAATCGTATGAGCACGGTCAGATCTTTAACCGTTACCATCCATATATGATAAACTGTTTCACACAAGTCAGATTACATGTATGTTCAATCGTATGAGACCAGTCAGATCTCTAACGTTACCATCCAATGATAAACTGTTTCACACAAGTCAGATAACATGTATGTTCAATCGTATGAGCACAGTCAGATCTCTAACGTTACCATCCAATGATAAACTGTTTCACACAAGTCAGATTACATGTATGTTCAATCGTATGAGCACAGTCAGATCTCTAACGTTACCATCCAATGATAAACTGTTTCACACAAGTCAGATTACATGTATGTTCAACTGTGTTACAACGATAACATTAGTTACGCCACTGTATGTGTATCATTAACTGTGTCTGCACGGCAAGGTTACTTACGTAACTGCCCGTGCAATTTCAAATATGTTAGAACGGCTAAGGTACTTCCATTACTGTACATGTACCAGCATGTTCAACTGAGTCTGCAAGGTCAGATAACTTACGTCCCTATCCATTCATGCTCAACTGTGTAACAACGGTCAGGCTAGATACGTCACTATCCATGAATGATCAACTGTGTCTATGGTACTAATTCACAAACCTTGTATGACAACGGTCATATTACTAACGTCAAAACAGCTTAGTTACTTTCATTACTGTACATGTACCTTAGTGTACCGGTATTTTCAACTGTGCGTAAATGGGTGATCTCACGGATTTAAAAAAAAATATGCATTCAACCTAAAAAAAAATGATATATGTAACTTTTATACTTTCTGAGATATTGCAAAACTTAAATTAAATATCCGGAAAAGAAAGCACTTATATAAAGCACCTTAATGTCGTTCAAAAGTTTAGCAATTTTGACTTTAAACTATTATTTCTCAAACTCCTGTCCTACGAATGTTTTTTTTTTTTTAAATTATGTTATTGCAACTGATTTTGTTTTATTGCCAACCAATTTCGTTTTTTTATATAATGAATGATTGAATATTCTGCAAAATTCAACGTCGATGTTGTGACTGCATTGTGATGCATCAAAATCTTATTTTTCGACGTTTGAGATATTACAGATACACTTGAATGATTTGTACTGCAAATACGAATATTATTTTCATATCAGTGAAACCAAAATTATTGACGAAAATTTGTAGAACAGGTTTTTTTACGTGGATATAAATTTTCTATAACTCCGAAAGTATGAAAGTTATTCTTATCATTTTATCGATATATAAACGTTAAGCCCCTAACCACGTAAGAGAGAGAGAGAGAGAGAGAGAGAGAGAGAGAGAGAGAGAGAGAGAGCAAAAACAAAACATTTTCAATTCTATATCAATAAAAAGAAATGTTAAATTTAATAGAGCACGTTCGAATTTGACAAAGAATATTTTGTAATTTCGATATACATGATAAAAGAAAAGCAATGTCGTTTGCATTTCCATTTTCAATCTACTAAAGGAATAAACAAAGTCGTTGTCGCTTGTCAAGAGCACTTCCAGAAAATCCTATCACTTTTTATTAATAGAAAAGATAAGGTCCTGAAAGATTGTCTGAATTGATTTATTGCCGGTTCCTTCTATATAATGCACCAATTAGTGTACGGCCAATTACTTCTCGTCTCATAAAACAAAGCAAAATGTCTCTATTTTATATTCTGATCTCGTTCCGATATTCAAATGTATGTTTTTTTTTAAATTATCGAGCTCTCTCGCTCTTGATGAAATTAAATCAACCTACACTTTAATTATCACCCAATCGTATATCACGCATTATTTCGTAACGCAATTTTTGTTTTCGCAAATTCAGAAAATAAATGTCAATACTTTATATCATGATTCAGGTAATACACAATGTTTTGTTTGACCTTTCGTACGGTCCCTATAGTTGCTAAATGTCATTTGGTCTCTGGTGGAGAGTTGGACTCATTGGAAATCATACCACATCTTCTTATTTTTATATTTGACAACTTTCTTTATACATTGTTCTTTGAACAAAATTATCAAAAATTCATTGAAAAATTTGATATTAAAATCAACATTCGTTTACCACAGGTTTCCAAACCAAACTCTCCATTATCTATAGCTGCGTTGTGAAATAAAGGAAATTACTTGTTATGCAATTGACAAAAATATTATTTGTAGATTATATAATGATCACAAATATCCATGTCTCCAGATACTCTATGAAAAAAGTTATCACTCTAACGGCAATATTCTAGACAAAGAAGAAGCAGAATTCTTGAACAATTAATCTCAAATCAGTAAAACTCGTTCTATGCTCACATTTCGTAAATTGTCTGGAGATTCGTTTATCATCATCTAAAACCCAAGATCTATAATGTGTTAAAATATTTGCTATAGCAATGTTTTTACATGCAGAAACCTAGGAGGAGTTATAATAGACAATTATAAAAGCGCATATCTTGAACATAAAATATTAAATTCATTTTACCAAAGGAACACGTAGAAAATTGTACCGATCTAATTGTGTTAGAGGATAAAAAAATAAAAATAAAAGAAGAATGTGTATGAGGACACGAATGGCCCCGCTCAAGCTTCAAACAAACGAAAATGGGACGGACGGACGGAAAGACGGAAAGACGGAAGGACGGACGGTCGGTCAAGGGTAATACTTAATGCCCCCGTCCCCTATGGCGGGGGCATAGAAAAGAGGACAATACTCTAGGAATAAAAAGCAAAATAAACAAGACATAGAAATGCATAGAACATACATCATAAGTGTTTATACTTTATGTATTTGACATAACCAATAGATTTAGTCAAACTGTATTTTGATTAGTAATTTGAAACCTGAATGATCTCGAATAACCCGTAAACAGTAAATTTTAATAGAAAGGGTATTACAAATGAATCGGTATATGGTATTGTAATAAGTAAATAGACATATTTCTGAACTTAGTACAGTCAACTTCACACAACAAAGGGACATACATGCATCTAGTACTTTTAAAATGGTTGAAATCAATCTGTTAAATTAAACCTAACCTTGACAATTAAATGTAAATGTATCTTCCTGTCAAGTCTTATTCATTTATTGTTTTTGCAACATTTCATGTCGTGTCAATTGCTTTTTTAAATCTATGTGCTTCACCAAATCCAAAAGGTGATTTTGAAATGTACTTATTTCTGATGTTAAAAGTGATCTTAAAAGGAGTATCAAGATCTTTCACCATAGAATTTTACAATTAAATATACTTGGTCTCTTAGGGCTCTGAGTACACCATCAATTTTACAGAATTCTATTTCAACGCATGGTAATGTGATTATTCCAGAAGTAAACATAAGCCTATTTTCAAATGTCAACAACCAATAAACTCCTTCAAATCGTCTATCAATAAGAAGGACTTATTCTAATTGTATATTGAAAATGCCAAACTTGACAAAAACAAATGAAAATGGAATTTCATTAGACGTACAAATACAAGGATAAATCCGAATCATTGATCTAATTTCGGATATCGTGCTACAAATTTAAAAAGAAAATTCTTTCCGACACAGAATTGTTGTAACATGTCTAATAGACTTCTTCAAGTTTTAGTCAATTTCAGACATTTAGATGTTGTAGATAATCTAAACAATAATACTTATTGATAAAAGTATGATAGGATACATATCATAATGAAGAATATATTTGGCAAGGGAAACGTTTGCAGTTGCTTGAATCCAGTTTCTGGAAGCAAGAAATAGAATGTGTTAAAGAGACAACAACCCGACCAAAGAGCAGAAAATAGTCCATGGCCACTAATGAGTCTTCAATGCAGTGAGAAAAATCCCGCACTCGGAGGTGGATTCTGTTTTCCATAGCAATTATGTAAATTACAAGTTTTTGTATAATATTTTCCAAGACTCTTACCAGTACAGTTTAAAATTGATACCATTATTTCTAGGTTGATATGGCATACTGAACGGATTATAGATGTGTCTTTTTCGAAGTATTAGTTTGTTAAAAAAGATTTCACTGACAATATGAATTAAAAGATATACTTTGACAACAATATAAAAAAGAAGACACTCATGCTTAAAATTTGACAAAAATCAATTCACCTCGTATTTGTCATCAATTATCTGTAGATTACCAAGTCTTCTTCTCATGTTTGTTATATATCAACTGC